GCTGGTAAATTTTTTAAGCCAATAAATGTGTCTGGCCATCACTGGCCGTTTGGTGCCTGTCCAGTTATGTGCTTTGTTCAAATGCTGCTTGGACAATTTCCGACGGTAGAGATTGTTCACCCAATTAGAGGGATATCCTCGGTGTCTGGTCCATATTCCATTTCAATCCACGTCATATCTGGGTTGTGAGGCAGCAGCAGTATGACGCAGATAGGCTTCCAAAAGTCCTCTATTGTGCCTTTGAGGGAAACTTTGAGTCTTTCATATCATTTACAAGCCCTTTACCCCTTTGAACCATACCTGTAGAATGCCTTTTCGTTTCTGTTAAAAAATAATTTCTGTTGCTTGCTCGTAGTGCAATTCCTGTTAGCGTCCGGAAGGCGTTTTGTTAACGCCAAAAGCTTTTGTCTGTAGGGTGTCAAGAATGTTCTGTTTTGTTGAATTCAAGGCTCGTGTTCGTATGTATTTTTGTTATTGATAAGGATGTTATTCACCTTTCTTCTCCCAGTTTTTGCTGAGTTATTTCTTTTTAAATTGTGTGGAGTCTCCCATATTCTCGTCCTAGTGCTTTCTATACTCGATTCACCAGCGCTCTTGTCCCCAAGTTGTTTGGTTTGTTGCTGTTTATTATATTATTATTATTATTATTATTATTATTTATTATTATTATTATTATTATTACTTTATTATTTCTTCAAGTCTCTCGCTTAGCGAGGTGCCTGTAGCAGACACCGGGACCTTTGTAGAACCAATGTGCCTGCTTCGCTTGCAAATCGGGCGGTCAGTTATATTAATAGAAACAATGCGTGCAGTACCCAGGAGAACAGCCTTTTGCGTTGTTTGAACGTGCCAGTTCTTAAGGCCAAGCCTTGCAGACGATGAAATTAGTTCTGCGGAGATCAGTCCATTTGCAGAGATGATCACAGGGACTACTTCAACAGATACTAAGCGCCACATGTCGCTCAGTTCAATAGCCAAGGCCTGATGTTTTCGCTTCTTCCCGGCAACAGAGGCAACTATATTTCGGTCTAAAGGGATAGCTATGTCGACTATCATCCCTTTCCGTGAAGCCTTGTCAATCCATATTATGTCAGGTCTGTTGGCTTCGACCCTGCGATCAGTGGTGACTGCTACATTCCAAAAGAGCTTCCACCGTTTCGACTCCAAAACTGAATCCGGCTTGAACTTGTAGTAAGGAACTGTATCATCTCCGACTTTGCAGCCAGGGCCTGATGGACAACCGCAGCAACGTCGTTGTGCCGACTCAGGTATTCTGTTTGCGCCAAAGCAGAACACCCGCCCGTAATGTGTTGGAGGGTTTCGCCGGGTTGATTGCAAAGGCGGCAGCGGTCCTCTACACTCATATCCCCGATTACATACCTTTGGTAATTGCGAGTTGAGGTTACTTTGTCCTGAATAGAATTGACGAAGCCTTCTGTTTCTCTGCAAAGAGGCCAGATTTTGTTAGCCAGGAGACTGACGATCCCATATTCACGGTTGCTCAGCAGTATACCTGCCGTGCAAACGTTTCTGGGTCCACTCACTCAGTCTGTCCTCTTTCGTGATACATGGTCTTTCAGAGTCCGCTTGATTCAGGTTCAGTGGAGTAAAATTCTTGTCCGTGGCACAAATTGCTTGATGAATGACCGTTTTCTGAAGGAAGTATTTGCGAAGATTGTTGATTTGCTTCGCACACAAGGACTCAAAATCCAGAAGACCTCTGCCTCCTTCGTTCCCAGGTACCTATAGTCTTGCCATTGAACTGTTGGGATGGTGCATTCGATACTTATTAAGAGTGGTCTTAACTTTTCGATTAAGCTCGTGCAGTGCAGTTGTTGTCCAGTGAAGAACACCAAATGAATAGACAGCGACAGGTACTGCCCAAGTGTTGATAGCTGATATGAGGTTCTTTCCATTTAAAAGAGTTTTACAGATTTTTGAGACGCTTTGAATAACTTTATTTTTAATATCACACGTTATCTGTGATTCACTTGTGCTCAAAAGTTGGTGCAGGCCTAAATATTTATAGGTATTCTCTTGCTTAAGTTCTTGGATATTTGTGCCACACATCAGGATCGGTTTGTCAGGATCAAGGGTTTTCCCTCTTTCCACGTGCACTGCAGCGAATTTATCAATGCCAAACTCCATACAAATAGAGTCGCAAATAAAGGACTTAACAAGTTCAAGCAACGTGGAAATCTTGTTTTTATCTCTGGAGTACAACGTGAGATCGTCCATGTGGAACTGATGATTAATGAGGACATGGGGATTTTTGGTGATTTCATATCCCATCCCTGAATCCCTTAACATTCTGCTGAGAGGTTTTAGAGCTAGCGAGAACCATAAGGGACTAAGACTATCTCCCTGAAAAATTCCTCGTTTGATCCTCAGGTCCTTGGTGGTATAGCTGCCTCCAGCGAATGAGACTTTCATCTTTGTACGCCAAGTTGCCATGCAGTGTTGGATTAAGTTCCATACTGGTAATTTACTTTGTAGAGGCGAAGGACATACAAAAGCCAAGAATGAGGTATCGAGTCGAAGGCTTTGGTATAATCAATCCATCCTACAGAAATGTTGCGGTGTCTCTTTTTAACTTCATTAACTACAACACTGTCTACTACCAATAATTCTTTGCAACCTTGATCACCCTTTCTGCAACCATTTTGCTCTGGCGCCAGAAGATTATTGACCTTTAGATGGGTATACAGCATACTGGCTAGCACAGATGTAAAAATCTTATATACCGTGGGGAGACATGTGATAGGTCGATAGTTACTCGGAGTCTTAGGATCGCTAGACTTGCTTATCATAAATGTAAATCCTTTGTAAAAATGTAAGACGCCGGAATGAAGTTGGTTATTGTTGTTATTATTATTATTATTATTATTACTACTACTACTATTATTATTATCTTTCTCGCATACGTATTTTAAGGCTACAATACGCGTCGGATATGTCCCTGATTACATTGAATGCCTTAATATACTGAACTCGACGTCAAAAATATATTGTCATTTAAACTTTTGAATAAAATGAATCTACGCGCTAAAACACACGTGTCGTTTATTTACAAAACAACTTGATATTTGAAGAGTAAGAAAGCTAGAAATTGTGAAATAATAAAGATGAGGTAAAGTTTTTAAACTGCAAATGGATATAACGGTGTCAGCAAATTACATAAATAAGATAATATTGCAAACATGCAAACCATATAATAATAATAATAATAATAATAATAATAATAATAATAATAATAATAATAAAATAATAACAACAATAACAACCTCGCCTTGAAGGAAGCACAAGCAGACAGTCATCTCCCTCGCAAGCAAATTGAGAGTATTAAAGCAGAAGCAAGATGATTGCTCCTTGAAGAATGGCAAGGAAGATGGGATGGTAATGTGAAAGGCAGTGATGTGATAACAAACATCGAGAGATGGGTTAGCCTAAGTTTTGGGGGTTATTACCTGTCCCAGGCTCTTACGGGACATGGGGAATATAATAAATATCTTTACGATTTCAGGATCGTAGAGACGCCCACGTGTAGTCTGTCACGCAGACATGGATGATGTAGAACACGCACTATTCCAGTGCAAGGCATGGAACGCGGAACGAGAGGGTTGTAATGTCAACCTCCAACAAGTTATAAACTCAGACAACATGATCGACATGATGCTAAGCTCGCAGAAAAAATGGAAAACAGTAGAGAACTTCATAGTTAGTATTATAAAGAAGAAAGAATTAAGACGGAGGAAGTAGAGCATGTGCCACCAGCCAATCTCCTGCGTGAAGTAGTGTCTAACGACGGTTTCCGCGTGGGAGAGAATACGGTTTAAGAGACGGAGGCTAGGATTTTGTCGGTAACCCAGATAGGAGTCCGACATTACCAGCTTCACTGGTATCTATAAAGGATTTTCCTCCTCCATGAAAAAATAAATAATAATAATAGTAAAAATAATAATAATGTAAAAAATGGCTGATTCATAGAACATTAAATTATCTTAAGAAAAAAAACTTCCATAATTCCGCACTGAATGTTTGTTCAATTAAGACCACGCACTGCACTGCACTGCAGCCGATACTTTTACTGGGGGGAGTCGTCGTTTTTTGTTAAATAATAATTGTAGTTTATGCAATTAGTTTACAATTTTAAGATTTATTGCATGAGTACATGTTTTGAAAACGAGTGGCTTTAGGAGCGAGTTTTCAAATTTGTACGAATGTAATAAATCAACATTATAAACGAGTTGCATACTATATTTTTTTGTATAACAGCATAATACATTTATAGGAGAATCAAACTTAATTTTGCGAAACAACTTCCCTGTGACGACTCGGGTATTTGACATCGTGCGTGTAAACGGTGGTCGACTGTTCCGTTTAGCTCTATCTCCCCCCGATTCTCTGGCTACGATTGGCTGAATGTGTGATGTCGCAATCATTTGTGACATAAAATCTAATTCATCATTTGTGCCGTAAAATGTCCGATGATGAACGATTTCGTGCAACAGAAAAAGTTCTTATATAATGCTGGAATACAAAAAAACATATTGGTTACTATATTGTATATTTTTATGTACTGTAGATATGATACTAAACAATATTATTGTTTAAATAATTGCAAAATTCTATTATAAATAAATTTTTAAATTAATTTTTTCAAATAAAGGAAGGGATAATGCCTTTTTTGGAGCCTCCGTGCCCTCCTCCCACCCTGAAACCGCCAGTGATAGGAACAATAATCCTCCTTTTCGGTATCAAGGACCTACAATAACTCGTCCATAAACGCTGGGTTTGCCCCCAAGTTCCCTCGGTTTTTGAACTTCAATGTCTTCAATCCCTATGCCATAACAGATCGAACTGCAGATGAAGAGGAACAACACTAATTTAAATACAGACGTACGAATATAATACTGTATTAAAATTTTGAGAGCATATTGTGTACCCAATGTCAATATCCAGAATGAATTTGCTCAGTAATGCTGAGTTTTAGATCTCACCGTGATAAGAAGTCATGAACTTGCTGCGCTCAATTTTTGGAATCCAGTGTGCTGCGAGACAATGCATCGCCGGCCACGTCACTCCCTGAAACAAACATTTCGTAAGTAGAGAGTGATATTCAAAGGGAGAGGAGTCACTGCGGTCGACGTTATCGCTGTTCATCACCTAGTAAGTGGTAGGCCTCCGGGTTAAAATTACTTGAGGATGACCTGCAAGGGGTCCTAACAATATTTCAGTCTTAATAATATTTTAAATTCGTAATAATATTTTTTATTAACATTAAGTATGCTATTTATTGAACGTATCGAAGATTTGATAATGCTAGAAAGAATTTCATGATTATCATCGGAATTTTGTTATTTCGCATCGTAACAAATTTATGAATAATATTGTTGTGAACCAAAAAATATCTGTGTATGAATTTGTCGAGAGTGGTCACGCGACTTTTGATGTAGTGCAGCTAATTTAATGCTGCTTCATGCTGCCTCCCCCGCCAAAGAGAAATGCGGAGACGTGCCGAGACGGTGAAGACGCCAAAGCGCTTGCGCGCGCGTACGCACCAGAGCGAGACCTTGGAGAGCGCGCACTGCGGCGGCGGCCAGGTAGTGCAGGCGGCAGGCGGCAGGCAGCGTCATGTTGAGCGCGCCCGCCAGCAGCACTCCGGCGGCCAGCGTGGCGCGGCCGCCCACCCGCTGCGCCAGCAGCCCGCCCGGCAGCTCCGTCAGCCAGTAGCTCCAGTAGAACGCGCCCAGCAGCACGCCAGACGCGTGCTCGGGCCACGCACGCTGCTCCTGCCATGCAATCCAGTATTCCCGTTACTTTCATCTTTAATGGTAATATCACATACTTTACTGCATTATTTCCAACATTTACAATTTTCCAAAATTCACAGAATTCAACGTACTATGCCGTTTTTATGGCCGGTGAGGTATGTTATAAAGCATTTAATATTATCTGATCCTGAGTTGCCTTTCGTCGTAAGATAACAGTTCCGATAGGGTTTCATCGTTTTTCTTTTATTAAGCAGTAATTTTTTAGGGATCAAGTGACATTAAATGTAATATAACATATCTTACCGGACATCCTGAGGAGAAATTTATAAAAAAACCTGCCGCGAAATTCATCGCAACCAGAAATACTGGCTCTCGGTGTAGGAGTTACACCACCACTAGCTGGACTTCATAAAACAGCTCTTTTTTCTTTTCTTTTTTTTCTTTCTTCAATTTGTTGCGTCTATACACGCAACACCTCTCCTAGCTCCTAAGAGCGTTGAGCGCACATTGGAATAATCCTACGTTAATTACTTTCAAAGGAGCAATCCTCCTTTATTACATAGCCAGCATTCTCTAGGGACCGCTGGGTAGTCACGCCAGTCGCAGTCAAGTCAGGGAATCGCCGACGGGTTAGCGTCTTGGCGCTCGCGTCATCTCCCCATCGGCCAGAATAGGGAAGGAATAAGGATAGGGGTAAGGATTAGGGCGCTTGGAGTAGCCCCCGTGAAGCAGGCGAACTCGTTTTGTCGCTACTTACTAATTGAGGCTCTACACATGGGGATTCAGCTCTATCTTATCGTCGCCAGCAACTCGACATTCGACAACACGGCATTCTTGTACATTCAATGCCCCATTCTTGCGATAATTCCATTAAGCTTTGCAGATTGATTAAAAAGAGATAAATCAATACAATGAAAATACGAATGGAGTAAAAAGTAAAACATACAAAGTGTAAAAATTGAATTAATATTGGCAATTTCAATAGTAAATTATAATTAAAATTAAATTATTTACTTTTTATATCATTCATTCAATTTTTACTTTCTCGCCCTTACTAACGTCAGATGAGAAAGTATTCTAATCGTGCGCCGGAAAACGGCGAATTTTCGACACAAAAACTTTTATTGGGCGCCCTGGCAAGGAAAAAGTGGATAAATCCAATTGCTAAATATACAAAAAATTCCTCTAACATGTGTTGTAACCAGTAACCATGTTTTGTCGGTCCTTGATAACGAAAATTCGATTGACGAAAAAACGTTTGTCCGTCCGTCGTCCGTCCGTCCGTCCGTCTGTTCGTCTCCGTCCGTCCGTCCGTCCATCCACAACGCTGGCGCATAAACCGATCTGCCGATTTTCTCCAAAATTGATATTCCCCAATTGTTCTAACTGATGTCGCGAACCCTACAATTTGTGAAACCGGTATTTTAATTTTAGTGGTACATTACATGGGACCGCTGGGACTTTCAAAAATTTTCAAAAATGTGGCTCCTAACTTTTTTATTTTTTTTATTTATTATGTCAGAAGACGTTTATGATACAATTTTATTTTGCATTTTACTATTAAAATAAAAATAAAAATCAGCAACACCGCGCGCGTATCCATCAAGATAAATTTTAGAGATTAGAATCATCTACATCAGCTAGAACGATTGAAGAATATCAATTTTGGAGAAAATAGGCCGAAATAGCCAGGTTTTTGCACTTGCATTGTGCACAGACGGACGGACAGACAGACGTTTTGCCGTCAATCAGTTTTTCGGTATGAAGGACGCACAAATCATGGATTCTGACTACACCACGAGTTAGAGGATTTTTTCCCCTAAATTTAGAAACTGGATTTATCCCGTTTTTCCTTACCAGGGGCCCACAATAAGAGTTTTTGTGTCGAAAATTCGCCTTTTTCCGTCATACAATTACAATATTTTCTCTTCTTACGTTAGTAAGTGCCGAAATCCAAATTACACAATCCGACTGCTTTTTTATTTCTTGCTTAATTTTTCTTTAAGAAAAAATATATTCATTTCTTTTGTAAATAATGAACGATTTATATGTTTCTGGAGTGTTTCTATGCTTTTACAATGCAAATTTTTGCATAGGAATGATTTTTTTGAAACCAACTTTTGAGTGCTTATTTCGGATAATCCATTCGGAATATCCACGTAGTTTATTATACAAAAGATGCATACATTGTCTTAATAGCCTAATTTCGAAGTTTCGACGTTTCCTCTCCGGACACCCTAGATTCATGTTCGTTTTATTTGTAAAAGTAAGAAATGATTACTGTCACGGCTATCAAAACAAATGCAGATATGCACCTAAGGGGCTTTGTTTCAATTAGTTGAATTGGACTTTTTCAAGTTATAGCTGAGGTGTTGGTAGGGCAGAAATGAGAATATTACAATATTTTGTACTTGTTTCCAATAATGAGAGAACATATGTGCTGTTGTATTATAGTTAGTTTTTAATATAAGCAAGATCAGAATTATTGATTTTCGATTACCCCAAACCGAACTCTTCTCGAATTTCCGATGTACTTGCTGGATTACTGGTCCTAATTAGGGATGGCATTTGCAACCTATCGCTCAAGAATTTGTAACATTCTCTGTAACATTTGTCGTTATCTACAAATTTGACTACGAATTATGCCAGATAAGAAAAATCTTACCCCTTTTACGAGTAAGATAATGTTGATTTATTGTATTTTGTAAGTTGTTGACCAAGAATACCCTATTGTCAAATTTTGCTAAATACAATCATATAATTGCGCAAAATATTAATTGTATCGAGTCAGTAACCCTTGAAACTCTGTTTTCCGCCTCCCACTCAGATGATTGTCACACTTATTTAACCCTTGAGCAAAGAAGAGGATCATTCCGTTACCTCTGTGCTGTTGGTGTCAGTCATAGCGACGATGGCAAAGTTAAGGTTAAGGCGAACCATCTGGGTTACGAGAAACATCAGGAAAGCCATCACCCCAAGAACAAGCCGCGCAGGCACTGAAAATAAATAAAAAAAAGTTATCTTTAGATAGCTGTAAATATTTGGCACGCCTCGTATGTAATTTCTGTGTACCATGAGATACAAAACGTATTTTAGGTAGTAATGCTACCAAAAGATACATCCTTTTTCGTACTAGTTACTTTCCCTTTTGAGTCGAGGCTAACTTTACGGGTTTCCCCTCCCCCCCTTCACGCCTACCGCAAACTGCCGCCAGGAACCAATCAGGTTCTTCTACGGAAAGTCCCGCTCCCCAATGTACAATTCCCAGAGTAGTGCCCCCCGGGCGAAAGAGTCAGGTTGCATTTGGGCTCATATTGGTCGTATACCATTTCATGCGTGCCTTTGGTTACCTTACTTCCCTGTGTGCACTATTGTTCTTCGTCTGAGACAATGCAGTTGCTCATATATATCACAGTTACCGGTCAGATACAGTGCCTCTGGAAGGATGTTTTTATATGAAAATATTTGTAGAAAAAGCCGTTTTTTCCAGTAAAAGTTTGCTTAGCGTTTCTGAAAATTTTGAGATTTGAAAAAAATTTGTCTTTGAAAATTTATGAGATTTTGAACATCTTCATGAGAGATAATTTAAGTCGTTTGTGCTTTCTGATGCATTTAATTATAAATTACACTCACAATGTAAATATATAATAAATATATCAGTGAGATATTTTAAAAAACTACAAATGTTTAATTTCTGAAAAATGAAACAATTCAGTGAAAACGGCACTCTTGTCATGAGGTTTATGCATTGAGATCTATCAATAAACAAAATGTAAAGAAAAAATGCACCAATTAAAAAAAATAGACCAAATGTTTTCAAATTTTGTAATTTCACTCTACATTACAAGGTAACAACTCATATTTTGAAAAAAAATTGTACATGCAGTAATGTAAAAATTTAATTTTCAGCAATAGATTATATTCAAAAGAAAGTATGTATCTTCAATTATTTTGTTGTAAGAATACTTGAAAAATTTTGTTCACATTTGCAATTGTTTTAATACTTTGCGCGTTTTATGGAAAACTAGGTGTAAGCCATTTTATTACTGTACTTTCCTCTATTGGAGTAAGAAAATTAAAGAAACTACAACAGCACATACTTTATAGCATTATTTGTAAATTTTCAATTTCTGAAAATTCAGAGTACAACGGAAATGAGACTGCGGGTTAAAAATAAAATTTGAAGCGAATTTTGAGAAAATGTTTTTGTTATAATTTGAATTAACTAGAAGCAGAAATAATGCAAAAACTTGTTTTTTCAAAACATTGTATATGACAATTTTTTAAAGATTTTTGAAAAACATTTAATTTTAAAACTGTAGGTGCTGCAACAGAATTTACTTTTTCTCATTATTGGGAACGGTTACGTAATATTACAATATTGAAATTTCTGCCATCATTTAAAAAAGTCCAAACCAATTCAAACGAAACGCCTTCGGTGGATATCTGCTATTATTTCGCTCATCAGTCACAGGAGCCTTTTCTTATTACTGATTCATTACGATAATTGGTATTAAGTTATAAAGCAGGATTCTCAGAATATCCAACAATCTCAAATTACTTTCCCGACTCACGAAGCCTCAAAGGAAGCGCGGGAAATTCGAATTAACAATTTCACGTGTTTCCAATTCTCGAAAATACAGAGACGGCACCGAAAATGGGACAAGTACCACTTTATTTTCTGTTCTTTGCTATATTGTGAAAAAAAATAAAGAAAAATTTCGAGCCGTTCCAGAAAACATAATTGATTAAAATTTAAAATTTGGGGATGTTTGACGCAAACTTATGCAAAAAATATTCATATTTTCGAAAAATTGGACATTACCTTATTTTAAGATCTGTTTTTGATTAATACATTTCATTCAGAAATTAGGGTTGCTACCACAGCACGTACTTTCTCTTGATATTTTTAATGGCTATGTAATATTATAATATGACAATTTCTCATATACACTTCAACTACTATATGAAAAATTCTTAAACAAACCAAGCGTGTAAAATACATATTTTTTTAAAAATTCAAAACTTTTTATCGCTATTGAAATCAGTGTATTAATGTTCTACATAAATGTACCAACGATGCACGGTGCGCATTTTAGCCGTAAATACAAATATTAGTTTTTATTAAGAAGGAAGAAAAAGCAGCAGTCATTATCGCCTTCTCTTATCAGTGAGGGGTTACAATAATAGTTTATAATAAATAATGACCGCTAATTTGTATGGGAAAAACATTTTGCCAATTAGCATGGTACCGCTAGAAAGAAAATGAAAATAGAAAAAATATAATAATTAAATATAATATTTTTATATTAACAAAAATTGTTCAGTTTTTTACATTTTATTAAGCTATACATTTTATTTTCACATCTTACTAAGCAAAGAGAAATCATCTATTCCTTTTCACATTTAACTCAAATAAGGTCGCAATTTACAATAGGTTTTATATATTTTCTAAAAGATTAATTTTAAAACTTATAACAAAACCTCGAAAAAAAAACGAACAAGGAAATGCGAAATAATATACAAATTCGAACTTACGTAATATCCAAATGCTTAGCCTTCCTATTCATTATACGTTCATGAACTGCAGCAAATTGGGAGCGGGCGATTATTTTTGTCGCCAAATTACACAAAAAGGACTCGTATTTTCATAAAATCCAACATGTTCCTTCATTTTCATACAATTCAACACAATTGAAGATCCGTTTTTGATGAAGACATTTCATTAAGAAAAAATGTATCATTATAATTGTAGTCGTAGGAAGACGCCGAAAACATTTTGAATTTTTTCAATTGTCACATGCAAAAATTAGGATATTTAACCGACATGAGACATACACTAATCTCTTAAACATCCTATTCACTATTTCTATTCACCATTCACAGACAAATTTTCATGAAAAACAATGCAGCCGTTTTTGAGAAAAATGTTTAAACAAAAATTAGAAATTGCATATATTTCACGCAAAAGTACGCGAAAAATACTCAAATTTTCGAAAAATTGTACGTGGCCTAATTTCAAAATCTATCTTTAAGGAACAGTTTTTATTAAGGGAAAAAATCTCTATCGTTAATATTTTAGTTGTAGGAAGATCCAGAATTTTTTTTTCAATTGCCGAAAAATTAGTTTTTAATGAAAATAACACCTGAACCATTCTTTTCACACTATCCAACAACAAAATTTAATTAAAAAGATGGAGCCATATACGTACGAATATACGGTGTAATGTACGTAGTATAGGGAAAATGAAGTAATGGTGCGGAAAATCTATTTTGTTATTTAAACGGAAATACACGATTTGGGCTCCCCAGATACCGGAAAAGTGATTTTTTCAAAACATCCGTCTGTCCGTCCGTCCGTCTCTGTCCGTCTGGTGTCTGTGAACACTACTAGCGCCTTAACCATGCATAGGATTTTTTCCAAGTTGAAGAAACACCTGTCCATTTAGCTCGAGTCGAAACTTTGAGATTTAAAAAAAAACATTCTTCAAAATTTCGGAGTACTTTACTTGAAGCTCTCTGGACATTTTCAAAATGTTCTCAAAACGGCTTCAATTTTTTTTCTTTAAATTTCTTGTAAGAATAGAAAGTAACATACAATTATAAACGTGGCAAGGTGCGATTTTCATGCTTAGCTCTAAATTTTCGAAAATTTCAAATGTATGAATTATTTTCAACTACAAAATTAAAAATGGGGATTTTTGCTTCAAATAAAATTTGTTCTCCATTGTGAGTTCTTTCATTAAAGTTTGTACATTTTTTTGAAAATTTTCGTCGTCGCGCAATAATGTGTACAATATGTGCAATTAAAAAAAAAATACAAAAACATGATTTTTTAAAAAAATATCTCAAAATATTATCTTTAAACTATCGGTCGGGATAGTGCTAAATGTACTCAATATGATAACATAACGCCATATTTCTCTATTCTTTGTTCTTTCAAATCTTAAAAAATATAATATTTTACTTGTCTCTCATGTCGTTAATATTTATACTATTGGCAATTTGTTTACATTATTGTATTTATCAGTGCATGTGCTTTAAATAATGTCATGTAAAGTGTTTCGAAAACTCTACCGTTTTCTGTGAAAACTATCTCAAAATCCCGCATTTTCAGGAGCGCTCGAACGCCATTTTCTCAAATACGTCTCCAAATTGTTTCTGCAAACATTTGAAATGGATAGTGCTAATTCTACTCTTTAATGTGACGTAAATTTTATTTAGGTGTATATTTTTGTTGTTGTTTTTTTTCTTCAAAAATTACGCAAATGAATTTTTTTTCAAAAATTCTCACGCCGTTGTGCACAATTTCAGCAATTTTTGGACATATTGTATTTGTGACTTGAAGTACTTCAAATGAAGTTTGTTGAAAACTCAAACATTTTCTGTGAAAAAGAGCTCCAAATTTCGAATTTACAGTAGCGCTTAAAAGCCAGTTTTTTAAAAATGGCTGCAAATTTTGCAAAGATTATTGCCATTTAGGACGAGGCTTTACTGTTCTTTAATATTCTTAAAATAATATTTTCATTCTTTCTATTAGGAAAGCGAAAAATGAAAAAAAATGTCAACAAAGGTTCTTTAGGCAGGGATAGATGGCAGCTGTCAAGAATATGTGGCAAGTCCGAGTAGCTAGCCGAGACCAAAGGAAATAGAAAATACTGGAAAGTCTGTGTAATTCTGTAGTACCACTAGCTTGAAAATTTGATAAGTGTCCCAGATGCTTCAAGTATAGTATCCCCAAAATTAAGATATCGATTTCAAATTCAGGGGACCGCGACACCAGCCAGATCTATTGGGAATACCAATTTTGGAGAAAATCGTCTGACCGGTTTAGCCGCTAGGTTTGTTCACAGACAGGACAGAAGTTTTGCAGTCAATCGATCTTTCGGTTTCAAGAACCCACAAAACATGGTTTCTGGCTACACCACGTACTAAAAGATTTGCTCTACATTAAGCATCTGTATTTATCCACTTTTTCGTTGCCAGGGCCCTGTAATAATAGTTTTTCTGCCGAAAATCCCTCGTTTTTTCGCGCCGCATTACATAAATTTCTCTCTACCGCGGTAGTGGTAGGGGTTAAAAAAATCCTTATAATTCTAAATATGGAAAGACGCCAAAAAATTTGAATTATTACAATTTTCGAAAAGTCAGGATTATCAAAGAAAATGAGACCTGATCCATTCCTATAAGCGTACGTTTCGCTATCCGTCAAAATTTAATCAAACAATTTGGTGCCATTTATGGAAAAAAAAGAGTTTAAAAAAGTAAAAATTGCCTATATTTCACACAAAAGGACATAAACGTATTTCAAAATCTGTCCTTAAAATAAAGAAAATATTGATGAAAAATCCCTATCTTTGATATTTCAGTTGTAGGAAGACGCAAAAAAAATTGAACTTTTGAAATTTTCGAAAAATCTGTGATTTCAACGAAAATGTGACCTGTACTATTCTCTTAAAGTTCTTCAACGACAAAGCAATAACCTTAAGCAACAAAATTTAATAAAAAAAATTGATGTAATTTTTTTTTAAAAGTTGAAAATGTCCCCTGGTGTTACGTGTAAAGTGCCCCCTAAAATTAAAATATCATTTTCTAATTCAAAGGGCCGTTACATCAGCCAGATTGATTTGTGGAATATCAATTTTGGTGAAAATATTGCTTACGGTTTAGCCACTAGCGTTGTTCACAGACTGAGTCAGACATAGGCATATGATTTGCCTTCAATCGATTTCCCGGTATCAAGGACTCACTAAACATGGATTCCGACTACACAAGGTGATAGAGGAAGTAATTTTCTAAATATTGGAACAAGTTTTATCCACTTTTTCGTTACCAGAGCCCAGCAATAAGAGTTTTTCTGTAAAAAAAATAATTTTCTCTGTAGCATTACAATACTTTACATTGCGTAGACTGTAGAGAAAAATTGAATTGAACTAGTGGTGTTACAGAATAGCACAGACGTTCTGGTACTTGTTAGTTTTCTAATTTCTTTGGACTGGGTTAGATTTTCCATTTTGCCCCATCCTCTTCCCACATGCGGTCGTCACCCAACATACATTCTTTCGGTCCGCTAATGGTAGAACTGAAGCATAACTTTAAGAATATTATAGAAGAGTAAAATATCGAACCACATATACATTTTCGTTTAAATGTTTTGACATGTTTTTGAAAAATGTCGTTTTAGCGTTTCTGAAAATATGCAATTTGAAGCTCGTCTTCACCCAAAACTTTTACGTTTTCGAGAAACTTCATAAGAAATCATTTGAAGTAGCATTGTTCATAGACGGACAGACAAACAGACAATCGGCTTTTCGGTATCAAGAACCCACAAAACATGGTTTCTGACTAGTGTTAGAGAATTTTGGTTTTCTAAATTAGGTACTGGATTTATCCACATTTTCGTTACCAGGGCATGACTGCCGAAAATTCGCCGTTTTTTCGCGCAGCATGACATAACTTTCTCTCTAGTACGGTAGCAGTATTGAGAAAGTAAAAACCTCTATTTCGATATTGTTTTTATAGGAAGACGACGAAAAAAGTTAACTTGTGCAATTTTTGAAAAATTAAGGATTTTAACGAAAGTTACGAGAGCAGCGTTTTATGGGCCCTCCACAAAGAGGACGGAGAACAGAGAATCCAAAAATTTGGAAGTATTTTGAGGAAATTTCGGAAATGTTGCGATTTCATACAAAGTACCCTGCCCCCCCCCCCTCAATATCCTTTTCGAAGTCGGAGGGCTTTGAATACCTTTAAATCGATTGAGGAATATCGATTTGGAGAAAATAGTCTGAACGTTTTTGGTGCTAGCGTTGACCGTTGACAGGCGGAGGGACGTTTTGCCGTCAATCGTTTTTTCGGTATCAAGGTGTATACAATATAAACGATAAATCAACAATTGAAATTGTCACTTAGGAGTCATTCTAATATTCTACAGACTTTCTTTTAAAAGATGGCTTCACTAGTACTGGGTAACAGTCCTGAATCATAGTAAACAGGGCATTTTTACGATGAAATACTCGTACGTCGCAAGATGTTCTCTGTGTCAAATATATTTTGGGGAACAGTGAATATGTTGAACTACCTCCACTTTGAAGTTGTCCACTTTAACTCACCCGAGGAACCCCAGCGAGGAGCCATGGCGGGAACGCTTCTCGCAAGGTGGTCGTCTGCTACTGCTGCTGCTGCTGCGCGGGAGCGGATTCACGCGTGCCGGCGCGTGGCGGGGGCGCGGCGGGGGGCGCGCGGGGGGCGAGGCGGCAGGCGAACGCGGCCCGCGCGCACCAACGCGGCCGTTCAAGGCGGGGCCCACCTGCCGAACAACGCAGGCCAACTGACTGCCGGCAAACAGCGCTTCCCTTATCCTCCGAACAGAGCGGAAGTAGTAGAAGAATTGGGTTTGCACTTCTTCCCACATTGACCGTGGAATCAATGAAAGTTAATTTCTTCTCCATATTCAATTGAGGGCTTCAGAAATACGTGTGTTATGTGTTAATTAAAATGCTACATTTGTTTGGTCACAAACGTGCATCGTGCCAATTGGCAATTTTCTCAAGGGAGGGGGGACGAGAAGCGCTAATCGGGTGGTAGACGAGTGAAACGTATTTCGACACACGTAGAGTGAACAATAAACGTGTTCGTGAAATAATGAAAGATACTGTCGATCAGTGAGTATCATGCGACTACGCATTTGAAGACTTTAATATCTTTTTCTGATTACAATAGTCATTAATATCGTGTTTTGCAGTGGAGGCTCATGGACTGTTGTTTAGGAGAGAAAAGACCAGGACGTCGATTGCATAAACTATTTCTAATGAAACGTAATAATAAGACGAATAAGAAAGAGATCAGGAGAATTGGAGAGAAAGGGGAAGAGAAGAAGAAGAAGAAGAAGAAGAAGAATAAGAAGCAGAAGAAGAAGAAAAAGAAGAAGAAGAAGAAGAAGAAGAAGAAGAAGATAAAGAGAAGAGAAGAAGAGATTATTTTAGCTTGCAAATAGTTTGTCGTCTTGTGGCAAGTTACAGCTGTAATAGCCTTTACGTAATACACTAAATGAAATACAATAAAAATAATACAAAGAACTTCCAATTTTTAGGTACATTAAAATAATTGTTAATACAATTTTTGTAGTAATATATGCTTAATATATAAATTATCCTGGCTTGCAACTAGACACACTTAACTAAATACTTACAATGCTCTACTACTACTTAGTACTCAGAATACGAATGCAATACATCCTAAGATGACTCAATGATTTATTTAGCGATGCCTTTTTTTTAATAGCCTGATTCGAATTTCTTCCCCTGACGAAGTGAAGTGCCAGGAATTGTCGACTTTTCCGCCTTTTCGCTTATTTTCAATTAAACATACCCTAAATTCTGGGGCGTCCGTGAGTAACGTGGCCGTTGCGTTGGCACCACCAAACCCGTGGCCGCTGTACGTACGCGGTGACGCCCCCTGGCGGAGCGGAGCGGAGCGCCCCAGCCTCTGCGCGCGGTCACTGAACAGCTGCAGGGAGGTCCGTGCCCAGCTAACATGTAAGATTTTAAGGCGAAAATGTTTATCTTCAACTTTGCGGTTTTGAAATTACACTTTTTGTCATTTTCGAAAAGACGGAGAGTTCGCCGAAAATGGAACTATCTCCAAATTTTTACCGACACATACAATGATAAAATTTAAAGAAAACGTTTTGAGTGGTTTTTGCGATTTTTTTAGAAATTGCATAAATTTCAAGCACAAATTCTTAAAAAACTACACGGTTTTTCAAAAAAAATATACATGGCCTTTTTTAAAAAAGCTGCTTTTTAGAACATTTTGCTCAAGGCAAAAATCTCTGTCTTTAATTTTGTTTTTTGTTTTTTTGAAATTTTTACTGTTTTTCCCATTCTTTCATAAAATCAAGATTTGTTTAAATATCAGTTTTGATAAAAAAATAATTTTTTTTAAATGTAATTTTTGAGAAAAAATTGTTTAATTTGTTATTGCTTATGTTTCACGCAACATTACGCAAAAACTAATCAAATTTTCGTAAAATTGTACATAATCTTATTTGAATATGTCTTTAAACAACAAATTTCATAAAGGGAAAAATCTTTATCTTCAATAATGTAATTGTAGAAAGATGCACTTTTGCAATTTTCGAAGAATTAGGGATTTTAATGAAAACGAGATCTGCCCATTCTCTTGAGCGTCCTTTACGGCATCCGGGGCCGAAGTTTAATAAAAAAAATGGTGTCATTTTGGTCAAAATTTTGGTAAAGTCGAAGCTTAATGTTATGTACCCTCAAGAATCAAAATATTAGTTTCGTACTCCCAAAGCCTGAGCTCGTTCAAATCGATCGGGAAATATCAGTTCTGGAGAAAATCGGTTGAACAGTTTAAGCCCTATCACTACGGACAGATGTTTTGTTGTTATATATTTTTCGGAATCCATTACTCACAAAACTTAAATTCTGACTGCAACTCGTGTTTGAGCAAGTAATTCACTATTTATAGATACAAGGTTTATCCACTTTTTTCGTTTCCTGGGCCCGACAGTAAGACGTTTTCTGCCTAAAATTCGCAGTTTTCAGGCATACGATTATATTCCTAACTTTTTCTTCTTACGAACTAAGGACGAGAAAGTGAAAATAGTGTGTAAATAAGCTTTTCTGTAGATTTCATTGTTGATTGAAATGTTGCTGTAAAAAATTATCAAATAATCATTTTCACACTTTATTTTCACTTTTTTTGAATTAACCTGTCTAAATTAATTGAAAACACCGCGCACACGAAGTTGCGCGTACAGCCAGCTACATTATATGCTCAAATGGAGGATGCACTGCTGTGGGAAAGGAGAAAAAGAAGTATCAGTGCGGTTTGCTCATTCAAGACGCTTCCGGGAGCCCAAGTTACGAAATTATCCCCAACGCCCTCATGGACCGTGCCTTCTCTACAAAGCAATTCAAGAGAGGGAGAGACTGCGCTAAATAGCTACATTAATAAACATTTCTCATTTTGCGGGAGAGCTGTCAGGTTCAGCGAATTAACACACGAGCCAAGTAAACGCTGACAAATTCCTCGGGAGCGATTTCGTCGTTTCCGCGTCGCGTAAAATCGGGCGTTGTTTAAAACTCGATCAAAGAACATATCCTCAGCGTATCATCGAAAAAATATACACTTTCACGCCAACATCAAAGCAAATGTTTTATTTTGTCATTACATTCAGAAGAAGACAAACTGTGATAACTTCCCTCCTTCCTATCTCGTGAAAAACCATCAGAGCAAATTTTCTTCATTCTGTTCATAAACTGAGTCACATCATTGTTCTTTCCGTTGGGGAAAAATGCACTTGTAAATGTACACACCAGAGAAGTGAATATAACAATGTGTTACACATTCAAACGAAGCTTTCTGAAAACTGTTGAGTTGAATAGTCTCTACATCGTCACAGGCGAAAAGAGGCGTGTACCTTCAGGTGGGGACGAGCTGAACCGCGAGCCAGCGATGTGTGTGCGCCGTCGACGACGATAGGACTTGCGCGAGCTGCTACCGACTGCCCGTCGCTGCCACCCGCGCGTCTCCTCGCGCCACACTAACAGCCTCGCAGCGGCTGTTATCTCCTCCCTGCCTCCAATTGCGGCTCGTCTTCGAACGACAGGGGCGGGGCGGTGGCCGCGGTGAGGGCAGCGTTCAAGTGAGCGCTGTGTTACGATGCGCGGAAGTTGCTCGCACGACGAGGGGGGGGGGAGAGATGTGAAATGTTTTATTTTGAGATAATCAAGTGGCAAGAAGCTGATTCAGTGTGTGAAAAAGATAATATTCTCTTATCAATAAACAACACCAAGTAAAAAACGTATAAAAGTATTTGTTTGGGTTCAGCTTTTGATACCTGGTTTCAAAATTGAATGGATACTTGGCAACACGAATATTCCTAAAGAAAGTTTTGTCAGTGTGATAAGTGTTATTTATTTCTTCATTTATTTTCACCTAATGGCTAATGAAAAATGTCACGAACTTTGGATTTAGTGTATCATTAGAGGGATAATAGGGCCAGTAAATGGCGATATGGTTGTTATCTTAATATATCGAAAAAATAAATCGAATTCATTTTTATCAGATTTCTTCATTCTTTAAAGTTTGACTTCTAAATATTTCTTCTAAGTATATTAAGAATGGAGTTGTCATATGTAAGCAATGTTTCAGACGTTTCAGTTGTCGAAATCAAAGAAAATGTTATAATTTTTATATCAATTTTTTTTAAATAAGACCAAATATTATGTGATATATTGAAGTATATAATGATTTTGGCACACTTTGAAAAGCCAGAAGAAATAATTGCTTGACCACTAGCCGTACTGACAAAAACTCTCAAGCTCAAGAAATATTCCAACAATACTGGGTTTTGGAAAGTGCAAGAACGCAGAATTTATCTCCTTTACAATTTATCTCATTTAGAATTACTGTCACTACTTGCATAGAAAAATAGTTAAAAAGTAATTTAAGAATCTGGTTATTGGAGAGTCAAACACCAAGTTGAAATCAGCCGTTGCAGTTCTGTATTTCTAATGAAATTGTTAGAGAAAGAACTTATGTATAATATGTATGTGTATGTGCTTGCGTGCGTGCGTGCGTGCGTGATGTGTATTGAAACGATTATTTTCTCTCACAAAACATGTATCTCTGCCAGCATAATTATCTAACGGAGTTTTCTTATAATCGACGAGTGGACATGAAAATCCACTGCTTTATTCGAGATCTTAGCTGTTAGAAATTTTATGAATGCTTGATGGCAAAACTCGCTAACTACTATTCGATCAAAATAGCAAGTAAAAAATAACAAATTTGTAACCAATGTTTATTTTAACAAAACACTGATATATAATGAATTAGTTTACATTTGTATTGTATATTTTTTAAAGACTTAATACGCCCGTAACAAATAATGTACTTCAGCTCCCGGGTCAATGACCACCATCTCAATTAGGTTTTGTCCAGTTTCCCTGATCCATTGAGCAAATGCTGAGATGGCCCCTTGTTTTGCTTCTGGACATAAATGTAGCTTCACTATGCGCATGTTTTGTTGAGCTCTCCTTTTACTTGTGGTAGGCATAGAGGTAAGGGGGAAGTACTATTTTGTTAGCAATGCAAAAAAATCATACTTGCTGTTCGTTTATTGTTGCAAATAGGTTTTCTATAACTCGGGAACGAAAATGTATAATTTTTCAAATGTCGCTAATCTCGCGCTATTTTAACTTACTTTTATTTATTTATTTATTTATTTATTTATTTATTTATTTATTTATTTATTTATTTATTTATTTATTCATTTATCTTTAAGTTTTGCTCCTCTTTCAACTATTTATTAGTTAAAATGATGGGAAGGGATTCTGGAACTCTAAGAAAACGTGCGTAGATTAATTTCTTCCCCATAGGTCACATCCGGGTTTTACTGTTTTTGACTAAATAAATCAATGTAAAGAGAGAGGGAGGGGAAGAGAGATATAGCAGACGGAGGAGATTTTTTCTGTTATTAAATAAGTTTTCAATGGATTTTTGAGAAAAGCGGTATGCATTTGGCGGTTGCATTCAAAAGAAGTTCCACCGCACATCGATAGGAAAGTAGGGCTATAATCGTCTTCCATTAGTCGACGGAGAGTGAACAAAATAAGGTTTGCAAAGCGACCCGTGAGGCGCGTGAAGTAAAGTCGGTCCCTGCTCGCGCTGCGGATAAGAGGGAATGCATTGTGCGATAAGATCGAGTCCCCTCGTGGCGGTCGCGTGCCCCACTTACTGAATTCAAGGAAAAGACCATCAGTTTTCATTGAAAGCTACCAAAAAACTAAACGGCCTAATGTCAAATCTCTCGTCTTACTCTCAAATTGTTTGAAGAAACAAAACAAAAAATAGTGGCTCTTCAGCAGCACATACATTATCGCATTATTTCTAATATTTGCAATTTTCGAAAATATAGACATTCCTTGAATGCGAACCTGCGCATTTTGTGAGCGTCCTTTACTCTACTAGAGGAAACGAGTGCTACAACAGCTCATAGTTTCTCGCATTGTTTTTAATGGCTTACTACTTTAACGTGCAAAAGACGCCAAGCGCGTGAGCGGCAAGTTGCACTCAGCCCAACACAACCCTCAGCCCGGCGCTAATTAGAGGTTTCTGGCACGGCGACGCAGTTTTCCAAAATGCATGCAGGGAAATGGCCATTGCCTCAGTCCATGGCAAATTGCAATTAAAGAATTTGGAGCGCTTTTTGAGAAAAAACCTTTTTTAAATAAATTGCGTTACTTCAAGCAGAAATTATACGTCAACTACTCGTTTTTTCATAAAAGCTCTACATTACCTTTTTAATCTAATTTTCATAACAAATTTTATTTAAGAAAATATCTCTACAATCAATTTTGTACTTTTGCAATGTTAAGTTTTGCAATATTCGAACATATTGAGAGTTCACTGAAACTAGAACCGGCACCACATTTTGTTCCGTCCTTTGATACATAGTGTAAAAAAACACCAAAAATTGGAGCCGATTTTAAGAAAATATTTGCTTAAAAAAGTCCTAAATTTCACACAAAAACTAGTCTTTTCGAAACATTGTACATGACCTTATTTGAATATCTTTCTTTAAAAACAGATTTTTAAAGAAAAAATCTGCCTTCAATATTGTAGAAGAAAAATTGAACTTTCGCAATTTTTTTGTATTAGGGATGTCATCGAAAAGGAGACATACGCTATTTTTAAGAGTTCTTACGCTATTTCGGGTAGCGTAAAATCCCGAAAACAAAGTTTAATTAGGGGATTAGGAGCAATATTTGAGAACATTTTGAAATGTTTGAGGCTCTTTTGAAACTCGCTGGACGTCGAGTTCTTTTAAATGGAATAGGCGCTAGCGGTAACCATAGACAGACAGACGGACATCTGCCGACAATCGATTTTTCGGTATCAAGGCCGCACAAACTTACATTCTGACCACACAACAGGCTAGGGGGAGTAATTTATTACCTTGGGGCAAGACGTATCCACCTTTTCTTTACCAAGGCCCGATAATTACTTTTTTGTCAAAAACTCACCGATTAAAATGATTGTTGCATCACCTTTTCTACAATCCTCATTCTTTCAAAGATATATTTTTATTTCATTTTAAAAGATATATTATTTTAAATTAGAATAATAGAATTGTCGAAATTAGTTCTTCGTAGTTTTTTATGACATTTTTTGTAACTTATGCCAAAAATTCCGGCAGTTTATAAATAATATGCTAACGAAATATGACGGGTTTGTACAATATAAACTTTGCACATAAATAACCGTCAGTGTTCCATTGATGGATATGCAATTTCTCCGCAGCGGTAAATCAATCAGGTTAAAGAAGAAAAAAATAAACAATCTCAGATTGCGGTGTAGGCAGAAAGCAGGCGCATAAGCAACTCACAAAAGACGTTTTCAGCGCAACACGCTTTTCCATTACATTAAACTAGCAAAGGATGCGTCCTAGTTTCTCAAAACCATATTTTTCGTGTTCTTACCGTGACTCCAATTATTTTTCTTTTGCAGTGATCTGCGGAAGACCTTTTCGAAATTCTATTAAATTTTTGTAGCGAATTTCTACTCGGAAGCACGAAATAACATAAAGATTCGAAGTCTGTTTCCAATGTGAAGCTATTTTTACTTGCAAATAAGTGATTGCGATAAATCAATGAAACATGCATTTTTTTTAATTTAGGGCTTCCGCGATAGATAATTTTTTTCCTACACCGCGCGGACTAAGCGCAGAAGTATGAGGCAAACATTAATCGCATTCTCTGTCATTCCACTCGTAGGGCGCAGTACTAACCAAACAAAACCAGCAGCGAAACGAAGCAAATTAAGCGTAAGATGTTAGCGATTTCTTGGAAACAACAGCGTTTTTTTCAAAGGCACTTGTAACGAGAACAGGAACTAGTTTTTGAAAGTGATCACGACAGAAGAGGTTTTCGCCCGGTGTCGAGGGTTTCCTCACCCGTTGGGGCTTAGATTATATTAGTGAGTTGTCGAAGGTCTTAGACCTGGATGATGGATTCCGCTTGCTAGCTGCAGATAGACAGGCTCCTTTCCGATACTCGGCCCGAAGCCGCACATAGCTGCGCAGAAAAAGAAACAATAAACAGGTTGTAAATTGAGCTTATTGGTAACGTTCCGGTGCTTATGTCATGTCGTGACAACTTTCTTAATATATTCCAGGAGTTGAATCTTAAATTGCTGCTTAAGTTAAGCTCTCATAACACATGGGTAATTTTTTTTAAATCTTTCTGTTAAATCAACGCTGTCCCAAAATCTATTCGAAGCCTTAACAGTCATTTTGTTTTTAGCGAAAACAGGTATAACTCGGCATTAATTTTGTTCAAAACGTTCGCGAAATTAACAGCACGTATTAACACCGGTTCATGTTATTCTTGCTTAGATTATGTTTCGCTTTTCATCTTCGGGCATTTTACGTGAACTAACCTTACGGTTGTCAGTTAACGCGCCCTGCCCTAAGTCAATATTCGTGCGCTTTTGACACACTAAAGTGCCGTAACTGTAGCCTTCACCACGTCCTCATTCCGCAGGGACTTGTAAGTCCATTGCACGAACTCGTGGCGCTTTTAGCCTGTAAACCCGTAGAGACGCTTGGACCCTATTAATGAAAATGCGGTATGGTGACAGCCAGTTGGCGTTCGGCTTGTTGCGGAGTCTGTCTCACACGCAGTCATATTCACAATCAGAGATCTGCGAAGGAATGAAGTAGTGAAGGTCATACATGGTCCCTCCATGTAACAGTACTAAAGCAAACAACCAACACACCTGCCGAACCCGCACACTCTGCAGCTCGCTTCGGGGCCCAGCATGTATCACTACACAATCGTATAATCAACTTCATTTTCCATTCAAAGTATACTGTAAATAGACCATGAAGATGTTTTTGTTGTTGATGAAGGTTTTCTTTTTCCAATTGCACAACCCATAAAACAATTTTTGTCAACACAATAGTGTAGTCAAATTTTTCAGCGCCCGAGGCAAAATAATTTCTGCGTACCCTCATCCCTCGATATTTTCTTAATAGAAATTGTTTGATTTGGTAGTTATTTTATACATTGTTTACACATTCATGCATACAAAAACATACTAATCATCTAATAATGTGCGCAGTTTCAAATATCGTGGGGATTGCAACGCGCAGTCCGCTCGCACGTGCCCACCAGCCCTCTTCCTCCAAATTAGATACGCATCGTGTCACTTAAGAACACTCTTAGGGCCCCTTCCCACGACGCCACTCAGCAGCGCTTCCGACTGGCACGTATGCTAGCGAAGCATTGGTTGAAATGCAGGTATTCGCACATGTGGCACTCGGGGCGGACTCCCGCCACCAGCAGCGCAGAAGCGCGATCGAGCCACCACCAGCAGGACAATCTAAATAACAGCTTTCACACTAGAGACGCCAAAGACAAGCCACTCAGCCGGTCTTTGCCTCTGCCGCCACCCATTGTTGTTGGCCGCCTGGGCCCTCAGCGGTGTGACCATCATGAATACTCTCTGGATTGCTGACTCCCTCCGCCGTGGTGAAAGGCTTTCGAGCATGTGCACGGTCCTTACCCCCCTCTCTCTCTCTCGCTCGCTCTCTCTGTCTCTCTCCCTCTCAATCTCTCTCACTCTCTCTCTCTCTCTCACTCACTCACTGCAAGAAAGGGCGCCTAGTACGACAGGCAGTGCTATTACAGTGTTCTTCAGACCTTCGTGTGCTGCTGACGTTACGTTCATTTTGGGTTACGATTTAATGTGCCACGTTCCAGTCAGTGTTCACGATAGTTATTTCTTGTGCTGCATATAACTGTACAAAATGGCAAAAGAAGTGGTCAGGAATTTCTTTTCACAGGTAGGTAATATCTTGTAAGGTAAAGAAAACCGTTACATTTTTAATCAAAATTTTCACAATATCGATTGGAACCACGCTCTTCTATTTTTTTGTCAGTTTACTCAAGATCCAGAATTGCGAAGAAAGTGGATCATTATTACGAAGCGGAAAGACTTTGTTCACTCTAAATACACTAAACTGTGTTACAAACCTTTTCAGCAGGGTGCTTCCCAAGTAAGGCCCAATGCTTCACAGCCTCTGTTGAATCTAAATGCTGCTCCTTCTATATTTGATTTTCCTGAATATGTGGGTTCTTCTCTTCCGAACAAGAGAAGAAATATAGTACGACATGTGGTGAATAAGAGAAATGGGTCATGACAGATTTTTGTGTTCTATTAGTACTGTTTTTGTTCATTTGAAACTACAAAGAACTGAAGAATCAACTTCCTGTAGCGCCCAGTTCAAAAGAAAGTAAAGCATTTTTTGTTTTCATTAAAATTTGCTTTTAAATACTTAACACGTTGGCGGTAAATATAAATACAAGCACGAATATACTGAAAAAATTAAAGAGTTTTCTCTTACCATACACGTATCTCCAATAGCCTATAATTACTTCCGAAACAATAATCTAGTTTTACCGCATCCATCCACATCGCAAAAATGGATTTCCAAATTTCACTGTGCACGAGGATTTTTAGAAGAATTTATCTCTTATTTGAAACACAAAAAAGAAAAAACCTTTTTACAAAATGTTAATCTTTTTTTTTTTGATTCAGGAAGCAGGTAATTTACAATGAAAAAACTGAAAAAACACATTGGGTACATTAATATCGTACAAACATTTTAAATCATGAAGAATTGGCTACAGAAGCACTAGTTTTTTCAAATCGTATCATTAAGATGTTTTTTAGGCTACATTTTGTATAAACAAGATTGACGAAACAGCCCAATCTCTGCTTATAAAAATTGCTATCCAAAAATTCCACGAAGTTGGTGTACAGGTTCACAACGTGACGTTTAACGGAACAAGTTCGAACATCAGTCCTGTAAACAAATTGAGATGTAGCCTGCCCACTTTCCAGGATTGCCTGTCAGCCACAATGTGCTTGGATCGAACCACGTGCTAAAACTATGCCCAAATACTTTAGCCGTCTTAATTGATTGGAAAAAGCTCAAAGACAAGCAAATATTTTGTAAAAACAGGAAAATAATTGTGAAAATCGCAGCTCAACCCCTCAGTTCCAGTATAGCTGGTGCCCTTGATTTTTTGCGAAAAAAACAATACCTTGATTTCATTGGCTGTGAGTCAACGATACATTTCATTCAAGTCATAAATCGCTGTTGGGTCTTTTTGAACTGCCACGACCCGTTTGGAAGAGATCTCAAATGTCCTATTAAACTAGAAATCAGAGTAATGTAAAACGCTGTGCTCTCTGAAACAGCATAGTATCTGTCAAATTTGAAATTCATGGGATTTGTTTTTTCAATCACTCGAGGAAAACGTTCGCTCTCGGATTTTTATTTGATATAATGAGCATTAAAAGCTTGAGATACAGGCGGTTTCAAACATTTATTAAGTTATAAAAATTCTCAAGATCATTTGGAGCTTTGTTTTCTTGCATAAGGAGTAAAAAATGGAAACAAGATAATCCAAATGTCCAACAGTTTACGTAGGTTTTACGGAAACTCATGTTCAGAAACAGTGTGAGGCCATGTGAAAATAGTAACTGTTTGGAATTTGACCCAATTCATCAGAGTTCGGTTCTCAGTTTTTCTTGCTTGATTATTATAAAATAAAAAATGATGATGATGACAACGATGACACTGAAGCCATTTCACTTATGATGGATTACATGGAAATATCTTATTACAAGAACTATATTTTGTATTATATTTGTGGTTATGTTGTTCGACATTTAGAGAATAAGAATACTTGTTTAGATTGCTGTCAACGTTTGCTCACCAGCATGAAGATTACATTCACTATACCCATTTTACAGACCTCATTTCCAGAGGGATATTGAAAAAAAGCATCAAATGACGTTTTTAAAATAATCAAATTTATGTGTAAAATGTTGATTGATCAATAGCATTAGCAGATTGACACTAAACTAATAATTTTTAAATCATTTTCTTCAAGAATTCTGTTTTTAAAGGACCTATATCCAATGAAGATTATGAATCATATTGGGAGGCTCATTAGGCATCTAGGGAATCTGTTTATCAAAATTGTGGTTCATAATATACGAAGAAGCAGAACCTTAAAAACCGTGTTGCCAAAACTTGGCTTCGGGCAAAAATTAAATAAATTAATTATCTTCTACAACCTAAGGTTTCAACTAAGAATGCTTAATGTGTGTATAATTTTTTAAATTTGAATTGTTTTTTTCTACTGCATATTTATATTTATTGTATGTTTTATTAGCTGTTAATCTAATGTACCTTTCTTATTTGTATGTATGTAAATAAATGTAAGATACTAATTCTCAAATCGTCCTTATTGTAATCCCAACATATTAATTAAAGTTCACTGCAATTATATTCCCATTGAGAATCGCCATACCTAGTTAAAATATGAGAGAGATTGGGAAAGGCAGTTGAATCGCGAAAGCCAGGAAGAGAGCCTTACAAGAGGAGGCAGAGAGACTTGTCGTGTAAGGTGGAAGAGGGAATCCTTCGGGACGACGACGGACCATTTTGCTGTTCTTCAGCAAGCAATCCAGAAGGTATACATTGATGGGCGTGACTCACGAAACCTTCCTCGCACGCGGTCGGCGGTGGTTGTGACCGAAGGGGTCTTCGCTTTCGGTGGCACCACCGAGTGGGTCGTTGTGAAGGCACCCTCGAACTCTGAACAATCCCTTTCTGGAGTCACGTAAATCCGCTCTCACACGCCCACCAGTCCCATCCACCAACATTTCAAATAGGACAACGCTAAATGAAGGTTGATTTCGAGAAGAGACATCACCTGAGCTCCACATTTCAAGGCAATTTGTCACGTGTTAGTGTCCAACTCCGAATCTCCCGTTGTTCTACTGCTCAGATATAGACAATGCCTACTAAAAAACAATGCGAAGCTCTTGTATCCAGGTCAGGAAGAGAGAGAAATACAGCTGTCCAATGACCCCACGTGTTTCATAGAATGATCCCTTGATGAAGTTAAAATAGCGAATACAAACATAGCTCGCGATTACGTGTGACGGCTTAAAAGACGCAAAATATGAGAGATAATTATTGTCACTTGAGTCGAGAGAAAACAGGCAGATAGCGAAAAGAGATAACAGATTTAGACTTCAAAGAGAATAGGCGCAGACTTCACACAGTATGGAGAGAAAGATCCTGGGAGACGTAATGAGAAGAGACACTGATGGAAATCCGCTGTGCTAACTATTACAAGTACCTTTGAGGTTTAGGGGCACATGCACAGACGCTCCGGTGGCGTCCGACGGCCGGAAGCATATCAGACGCACTCGCGATACGCGTAAGTCTAAACATGCTATCGAGCTTGGCCACCATCCGATTCACCGTTCGTAGCTGGCCTCTCCTGGCTGGCTGGGTCTGAAGGACAACGTCTCTACCCGGCGACCTTGCCCATCATTCATTGCTGCGGATAGTCAGGTAGAGAGGCTGCCTTCGACCTGGTCCGCGGTCTGCACCAAGCATCCCTTCTAGAGAAATTGCCGAATGGTCGTGTGAATAGCAAGGCCTACTCAGATGTCTAAGTTGCTGCCTATTAATAATAGACTATTAAATTACGATGGTAGTAGGCCACAATTAGACGATAATGTGTACATTCAAAATTGCAAAAGGCTAAGTAAACGCATGAATGTCTTTAGATTTTCATTTATTTTTCTGTTGATACATACGGATTATCTTTCTGGCGATGCGACTGTATCAGCATGTAAGTGTTTAACCCAGAAGCTGAAGTACAATACTTGTTACAGGTTCTTTATAATTATACAACCCAAAAGATATATAATACATTAAATGTCATTTTAAAAATTAATATTACTTTCCTTTTGGATGCTCAGTATAGTCTCTAATTGTATAGAAACAGTATTGCAGCAGAGAAGATTTTACATGGGACTTAAATTTTTTGTATCGATTTTAATCGTTTAATGTCATCTGGCAAGGTGTTGTAAAATAACGTTCAGGTATTGTATGTGAATTTTTGGTAGTGAGCTGTTGATACTGTTACCTGATGAATGTGATTATTACGTCGAGTGTTGTAGTTACAGCCAACACAAACTGGTAGCAGGGCGCGACGTGGTGCCAGGATCGGCACGGGGGGGGGGGGTCGCAATGACAAGGAGACGAAGTGGCTCAAATAGCTATTGCTGCCGGGGCTCCTGCTCCATTCGCTCCCCTCCATCTACGCTAGTGTGTCAACGCAAAGAATTTCGAAGCTGACTGCGGCATCATGGTTTAAATATTTTTGGACTTATAAAATTTAATGCATGTATTACATCTCAAAATACTTCAAAAGTATTCAAGCCTCCCGAATTACGCTCTGACTTTTCTGTCTTTTGAAGATGGGAAGAGCGGAAACTCGAGTAGGCCAAGAGTATCGTACTTCAGTGCTAATGTCAAGAGGTTACGTACACTCTCTCTCCTCTCTTTCTCTCTCTTCTCTCTCTCTTCTCTCTCTTTTCTTCGCCTCTCTCTTTCTCCTCTTTCTCTCTCTCTTTCTCTCTCTTCTTTCTCTCTCTCTTCTCTCTCTTTCTCTCTCTTTCTCTCTCTCTTTCTCTCTCTCTTTCTCGTCTCTTTCTCTCTCTCTTTCTCTCTCCTTCTCTCTCTCTTTCTCTCTCTCGTTCTCTCTTCTTTTCTCTCTCTCTTTCTCCTCTCTTTCTCTCTCCTTTCTCTCTCTCTCTTTCTCTCTCTCTTTCTCTCTCTCTTCTCTTCTCTTCTCTCTTCTCTCTCTCTTCTCTTTCTCTCTACTTCTTTCTCTCTCTCTTCTTTCTCTCTCTGCTTCCTTTCATTCTCTCTTCTTTCTCTCTCTCTCTCTCTCTCTTTCTCTCTCTCTTTCTCTCTCTTCTCTCTCTCTTTCTCTCTCTCTTTCTCTACTCTTCTCTCTCTCTGTTCTCTCTCTTTATCTCTCTCCTTCTTTCTCTCTTCCTCTCTTTCTCTCTCTCTTTCTACTCTCTTCTCTCTCTCTCTTCTCTTCTCTCTCTTTTCTCTCTCTCTTTCTCTCTCTCTTTCTCTCTCTCTTTCTCTCTCTCTTTCTCTCTCTCTTTCTCTCTCTTCTTTCTCTCTCCTTTCTCTTCTCTCTCTTTCTCTCTTCTTCTTTCTTCTTTCCTCTTTTCTCTCTCTTTCTTTCTCTTCTCTTGGTGCTCTCTCTTTCTCTCTCTCTTGGAACGGTCATAACTTGTACTCTCTCTCTCTTTCTCTCTCTCTTTCTCTCTCCTCTTTCTCTCTCTCTTCTCTCTCTCCTTTCTCTCTCTCTTTCTCTCTCGTCTTTCTCTCTCTCTTTCTCTCTCTCTTCTCTCTCTCTTTCTCTCTCTTTTTTCTCTCATCTTCTTCTCTCTCTCTTCTCTCTTCTTCTCTCTTTCTCTCTCTCTTTTCTCTCTCTTTCTTCGCTTTCTCTCTCTCTTCTCTCTCTCTTTTGCGTCTCAAAGCGATATCTCTTCTCTCTCATCTTTCTCTCTCTCTTGCTCTCTCTTTCTCCTGCTCTCTTTTCTCTCTCCTTTCTCTCTCTCTCGTCGCTCTCTCTTTCTCTCTCTTTCTCTCTCTCTCTTTCTCTCTCTCTTTCTCTCTCTTTCTCTTTCTCTCTCTTTCCCTTTTTCCCTCACTATTTTTGTTCTTCACTTCTTATTCCTTCTGTCTCTTTCTTTCCAAAAACTCTCTTGTCTGTCTTTGGGGAGAAATATCGCAGGTATATATTGTAAATCTTTAATGCATTATTTTTGTTAAATGAAACTCTAAATATTACAAATATTGGTCCTTTATTTCAGACAATTAAAAAACCCCTTCAAATTTCTTAATAATGATACATTTGTTTGGAAGAAACTATTTCAGATAGATTAACGAACGTTACTTGTTCCAAGACTTCATTATATTTGTCTGCCCTGCCGGTCGTTGCAAATATGACCTTTAGACGTTTGGTAGTACAAGGCATCTGCCATTCTCAACACTGAACCATTTCCGTGTATATGTTGTGTCCACTGCGCCCAGTGGTGAAGTAAGGATGGTGTTGTCGCGCCGCCGAACGAATTGGCCCGCATCCACGCTCCCGGCTGGCCGGGCGGCGACGCCCTTCCGCTCCACGGCGGCGGCGGCGCAGCGCTGGAAATAGATCCGCGCGCAGCGACGAGAGGCGCTGGACGGCCCGGCGCTTCTCCGCAGCTGCGCTGGCCAATTCAACCCATGCGCCTCCTGGCCACCTTCCCCACCGCCGCTGCACCGCCTACGCGACGTGGAGCCATTGCCATCGACATCGTCATCTCTCCGCATCTATCACTTTGGCCGCTGCAATTCCCGGCTACGCCGTCCTAGTCATCGGCGCAACCGCCGTCGCCCCTAGTGCAGGCAGCTCCGCAAGCGACGGTCGTGTACGTCTGTGAGCTGGACACGGCATACTCTCTCCCCAACATCTCCTCCGCCGCTTCCGCCATCAACGGCATTGCCACCGCCACCGCCACCGCCACGGCGCTGCTGCAGCTAGCCGTCGCGAGTGGCGCATCCTCGGGGGATGATGCGTCTTCTAGGAGGCTCGCCGCCGCCGGTGTTTCCTGCGGATCCTTGCGGTCGAGCGCTGACGCGTGTTCGCTGCGACGTGACTCCTTCGGAAGATCCTTCTCCGCAAACAAAAGCAGTTTCCTCATAAAGAGACAGAAGGAAGCGTGGTTGATTTGAATCATCAATTCATTATTTTATTAAGATGAAAATGATAATTTGAAAATACCCGTAAAGTCATCATGAAATTTAAGATGCCGTACAAAAATGAAATACGAATTCCAGTTGTCTTCAGATTTAATTCTCCTGCTCATACAATGTTAGAGGTAAGGATTCGCGGATGTTCATTTTTTCATCCCTTCTCTACAGAGGCATTGCGACACTGGTGGTTTTATGACCCAGGTAAATTTTTAGAGAATCATCGCTTTTGAGTCATTTTGACCTGTATCATGTTTGGTAATAAATCTAGAAAATAATGGTAATGGTATTAGTAATGATTCTTTGGCGAGGTTAGACCTTTCATCCCATGCTTCGGTCATCTTACCCCTGTCACTGAATACATCTGAGAGTGAGCGCAAGTTCCAGGAGCAGGGTGTGCTTGGATATCGGCAATAAAAGCTCGGGTGTCGAATATCCCCCCGACACACGCGTCCTTGGAGCGGAGGAGGCGGCGACTGTCACTCAGCGGTCGCATGGGCCGAGCTCCCGCAGCTTCTGGCCGAGGCGACACTGCGCGGCAAAGTGAAAGGAAAAGGGCGGATTTTTAGTTAAAAAGCTATGTAAGGTGATGAGACTTCGATATGCTGTCCACATGTCAGCCGTGGATAGCACGTAACGAGATCTTCGATACCATGTACTTTCTCGCATTATTTCTAACTTTGAACATTTTATAAAATTCAGCTAGTTCGACGCAAATGAGATCTGAGCCATTCTTTTAAGCGTTTCTTGTTCTATCCGTGAAAAAATTGCGCGAAAAATACTAGATTTTTACTTTCCCGTATACGTTCTATATACGGAGTAATATATGTGGTATAGGGAAAGATAAGTAATGCTGCACAAAAATCAGGGAATGTTTGGCAGAAAAAATTAATTGTCGGGTCCTGATAACAAAAAAATGGATAAATCTAGATGCTAAATTAAGAAAACAAATATCTAACACGAGGTGAACTCAGGATCTTTGTTTAGTGGGTCCTTGATACTAAAAAACCAACTGACGCCAAAACACCCGTCCGTCTGTCCGTCAGTCTGTGAACGCTAGCGCTTAAACCATACGTACGATTTTTTCCAAAATGGATATTCCCCAATCGATCTGACTCCAGTCGAGGCGCCGCGACTTTGAAAAACTTCCTTCAAAATTTGGGGGTAGTTTACATGAAGCCCTGCGGACGTCAAAATTGTCTCCAAAACGGCTCCAAATTGTTTCTTTAAATTTATTTTTGGATTAGAGTAAAATACACTTATAAAAGTGAAAAAAGCTCAGATTTTCTCCGTTAACCCTGAATTTTCGAAAAATTGCAAACTTTTGAACTTTTTTCGGCCTCTTCCTACAACTATAAAACTAAAGATAGAAATGTTTCCTTCAAATGAAATTTTTTCTCCATAGTGAGTCCTTTCATTAAGGTCATGCACATTTTTTGAAACTTTTAGTAGTTTTCGCGCAATATTACATGCAGTGTATGCAATTTTAAAAAATAACAAAATCAACTTTTTCTCAAAACCGTATTTATTTTTTTCTCTTCACTTTTGGTAGGGATCGTGCTAATTGTACTCTATGAGATAATAATCTCCATGTTGCTCAATTTTGTTTTTTCAAAAATTACAAAATGAATTTGACATGACTCTCACATCGTTTATATTTACATTAGCGGAGATTTCTTTACATTATTTTATTTATGAATACATGTGATTTAAATAATGTCAAATACAATTTTTCGAAAACTCAACAGTTTTCTGTGAAAACTGGCTCAAAATTTCTCGTTTTCAGAAACGCCATTTTCTCATAAAGGGCTTCAATTTTTTTCTTTTAACTTTTCGAACGGATAGTGCTTATTGCACTCTTTAACATGACTTTAAAGTTGGTTTTAGTTTTTGTTTTTCAATAATTACACAAATGTATTTTTTAAACATGTCTAACGCCATTAATATGCACATTTCCACCCATTTATAAACATGATTGTATTTGTGACTTAAAGTGCTTTAAATGACTTTTAATGAAGTTTTTCGAAAACTCAAATATTTTTTTGTGAAAAAGAGCTTCAAGTTTCGAATTTATAGTAGTGCTTTAACGCCAATTTCTTAAAAATGGCTTCAATTTGTTCAAAGAATATTGACATTTAGAACGAAGTTTTACTGTTCTTTAATATTCTTAAAATAATATTTCTGTTCTAATGTTAAGAAACCGAAATATTAAGAAAATTTCAAAAAAAATGTACTTTGAGCGGCGGTAGTTGGCAGCTGGCAAGAGTATGTGGCCAGTCCTAATATCTAGTAGATACCAAAGAAAATAGATAACTAATACGGGAAAGTCTGCTCCATTCTGTAGCGGCACTAGTTACTTTCTTGCATACGTACGTATTACGGAGTAACATACTTAGTATAGAGAAAGTTACGAAATTTGAACGACAGAATTCAGTTACTGCATATAACTTGATAGTGGTGATTCTATGTATTCTCAAAAACCTTGCATATTGACAATTGAACATAACTTCCATGCCAGATTAGTTCTTGAATATCTATTTATTAAAATTAATCAGACCGTGAACACGAATTTGAAATGCAACAGTCTACATAAAAAATATTATTGTATCTTTGTGCAATACAAGAGATACAATGAGCAAGTTGATCGGACAATTGAAGTTGACAGGACTTTTGAAAACGTGCGACGGAATTCACTGAATCGAGACCGATTTCCAAAGACGTCCCCTCCGGTGTTTCTCAAGAGGTGAAAGAGCCCGCCTCTCATTCACTGTCTAATGCTTCATATGAAAATTCCAATATTCTCATCAGCCCAAATAATAATGAAGTTAATGATATTTCTTAGCACACTTTCTCAAAAGTCGGTCGCGTCCATTGTCCAATCACCACTACCCAACCCCCTCCCTTCCCCCTATCAACCTTGCTCATTCACCTACGAGACCTACAGTGACTCGGTCGTTTCCCTACGCCTCAGAAACCACTGAACTTAACATAACGTTCTACACAGTGGATGAAAATGGTTTCCGGTTTTACGTAAGTTCGTTGTGGGCATTCCCTTCATATTTGCATAACTGTGTTAGTACATCATTTAAACTTTTATCCTTTGTCATTTTATGTGAGCTAATTTAATTAATTATTTATAGGCAATTTGTGCTCAAGGTGTTTCATAACTCACCACATAACTATAATACTAATTGGTAATTGATAGTATTCGTGACAGCTTATGATTTGTTTCCATGTAATCATTTTACTTATTTAACGTCATATTGCTGATTATTTCACATCAAGATATTTTATAGCTTTATAATTTCATTGCCGTAATATTTTATTTAACCTCTTTATTCTTTGAATGTTAACCTAGGTTTTTTGTGGATAACAAGTCTTGATATTTAAGGTTATTGACTTAACGCACAACCTTCAGTTGTTTATTTGAAATTCAGAATTTACTTTTTTACGTTCTTACAATTATGGGTTTATTGTAATTTTACATGTATAGACTGACTCCAATGTATTATATTCTGCTTTAGTTCATAACATTGTCAGTACCCTGATGATGGGGGGAAAACATTCCTCCGATACGTCGCCATCAACAACATTGTATTGTGATGTAATGTGAACATTAATGTTTTAGTGATTTATAAACATTACTGTCTATAATATATGTGGAACTTTATTTTGAATACTTGTATAATGAACAAAATACACTCCTTTGGTCTACCAGTTATAACTTCAATATTGTAGTTAGAAGATAACAACAAAAGTTAAATTTTTAAATTTTCAATACATCAAGGATATTAACGAAAATGAGACTTGCGCCATTTTCTACGAGTTCTTAAAGGTATTCAAGAACAAAGTATCATAAAACACGTTGGGTCATTTTTTGAGAAAATTTTGAAAATGATGGTGCATCAGGCAAAGTACTAACAAAAATCAACATTTGAACCTTGCAGGACCTAGAGTTCAAATTGATCTGGGTATACAAATTTTTCCCAAAATTGTGAGGATTTAGTCGTTGACCACAGGGAGACAGAAGCTTTGCCTCATTTGGTTTTCGTTCACAAGGGTCACAAAATATGGATTCTAAATACACGTGTAAGAGGGCGTATTTCCCTATACACAGGAACAAGATTTGTCTACTTTTTCATTCCCAGGGACCGACTACTAAAGTTTTTCGTTCAAAAAATGGCCAGATTCCATCCCATGGTTACTTTTTCTTCCTACAAAGTAAAGCGAGAAAATAAAAATATAAGAAAGGTAATTATTTTGTAAATGTATGAAGATTTGTGACTAAATCATAGAAAAATGTATTGACTGAAATTGAAACCAAGCTAAAACAAATACTGCATCGATATTGGCTCAGTTCCGCAGACACAATCGGGTTGTAACTACGCGCCCTTGTCTATTTATACCGGGTGTCCCACGAACCGGATGTTCACACGATCGAAATTCAGTTTTCGCTCAACAATGTGGATTCATGGGGCAAGTAATATGCTGTAGAGATATTGTTTGGTAGTGCTATGGTAGTTTGGTATGCTGTAGAGTTATTTATTCCTCTGAGTTTTTTAATGGAACTATATGTATAATTTTTTAATGTTTTGATGGAAGTTTGACTATAAAATTATACT